ACATTACCAGAGTCTTGCAGGACTTCTTTACTTGTGTTACTCTCTGGACAAATAGAGAAATTTCCTTCCGAAATGCTTCCCAACTCTTCTCTGCTTCTGTGAGCTGAAATACCTTTTTCCAGGACGGCCGACTAGGCTGCAGCTCTTCCTCCTGTCTGCCAAGGTCCTTCCCACAGACCATTGCATGGTTACAGCATGTCACCTTGGGAGAAACACAGGGATGTAAAACTTAAGGTTGTGTAAAAAGCGAGGTTCTACATTTAGGCAAGAAAAGTAAAAGGCACAGGTACAGTATATGGGGTACTTTGCTCAATAGTAGTAACTGTGAGAGGGATCTTGGAGTCCTAGTGGACAACCATTTAAATAGGAGCCGGCCATGTGCAGCAGCTGCCAAAAAGGCCAACACAGTTCTGGGCTGCATAAACAGAGGGATAAAATCAAGATAATGTTAATACCACTTTATAATGCCTTGGTAAGGCCACCCTTGGAATGCTGCATTCAGTTTTGGTCGCCACGATGTAAAAAAGATCTGGAGACTCTAGAAAGAGTGCAGAGAAGAGCAACAAAGAGGATTAGGGAACTGGAGGCTAAAACATATGAAGAACAGTTGCAGGAACTGGGTATGTCTAGTTTAATGAAAAGAAGGAGTAGGGGAGACATATTAGCAGTCTTCCAATATCTCAGGGGCTGCCCCAAAGAAGAGGGAGTCAAGCTATTCTCCAAAGCACCTGAGGGCAGGACAAGAAGCAATGGGTGGAAACTAAACAAGGAGAGAAGCATCTTAGAACTAAGGAGAAATTTCCTGACAGTGAGAACAATTAACCAGTGGAACAACTTGCCTCCAGAAGTTGAGAATGCTCCAACACTGGAAGTTTTTAAGAAGACATTGGATAACCATTGGTCTGAAGTGGTGTAGGGTTTCCTGCCTAAGCAGGGGGTTGGACTAGAAGACCTCCAAGGTCCCTTCCCACTTTTGTTATTCTATTCTATTCTATTCTATTCTATTCTATTCTTTTCTATTCTATTCTATTCTATTCTATTCTATTCTATTCTAATTTATAAATCCCTTTTTAAAAAAGGCTGGAAATTCTGCAACTTACTTTTGTTCCAGAGGGTAATTTTTCCCCTCCGGCTTTATAAATTCATAAATAAGTAACCGAAAAACAAACAAAAAATAACTCTCCAGATCATCTTGGAACGGAATTGAAAGCCATGTTCCGGGATGTCCCTTCCCTGCATTGCTCCAAACTATAAGACCGTCGGCAGATGAAGAAGCTTTGAGGTATGTTTGTGTCTGTCTGCTGGGAACCGGCAGATGACTAAATCGTGACGAGATATTTTCTCCAGCTAAGGAAAGATTCGGAGCTGCCTGAGCCAGGAAGAAATATGTTTGTACAAGGAACATAACATCTCTCTCTATTTCACACAACACTGGAATTATGGAGGGCAGGGAATAAAGGCCAATGAGCCTTTCCTTTATGGTGATTTATTTTCCTTCTGCTGAAAAAGCTTAAAGTCAAATTAAGACACCCCCCCACTGTGATTACCATGGGCTCAAGAAAATATGACTGTCCCTGGATCTCCTTAAATAAAAGAAGTCGACACAACAGGCTGTGATTTGCCTTTACTAGATAGAGAGAGAATGATAAGGTCCTTAGTGTTCTTTGAACTTGGTGGTTTTCTTACAGATGTTTCATTACCCAACTACGTAACATGATCAGTGTTATGAGAGAGTAGGATTGAGGAGAGGAGAGGAGAGGAGAGGAGAGGAGAGGAGAGGAGAGGAGAGGAGAGGAGAGGAGAGGAGAGGAGAGGAGAATGACGATTGTGGGTCCTTGGTGCTCTTTGAACTTGGTGGTTTTCTTACAGACGTTTCATTACCCAACTAGGTAACATGATCAGTATTATGAGAGAGTAGGATTGAGGAGAGGAGAGAGGAGAGGAGAGGAGAGGAGAGGAGAGGAGAGGAGAGGAGAGGAAAGGAGAGGAGGAGGACGACTGTGGGGTCCTTGGTGCTCTTTGAACTTGGTGGTTTTCTTACAGACGTTTCATTACCCAACTAGGTAACATGATCAGTGTTACAAGAGAGTAGGATTTGAGGAGAGGAGAGGAGAGGAGAGGAGAGGAGAGGAGAGGAGAGGAGAGGAGAGGAGAGGAGAGGAGAGGAGAGGAGAATGACGATTGTGGGTCCTTGGTGCTCTTTGAACTTAATTGTTTTCTTACAGACGTTTCATTACCCAACTAGGTAACATGATCAGTGTTACAAGAGAATAGAATCTGAGGCGAGGCGAGGCGAGGCGAGGCGAGGGGAGGGGAGGGGAGGGGAGAGGAGAGGAGAGGAGAGGAGAGGAGGAGAGAGAGAAGAAAAGAGGAGGAGAAAGAGGAGGAGTGTGGGGTCTTTGGTGCTCTCTGAGCTTGCTTGTTTTCTTGCAGACGTTTCATTACCCAACTAGGTAACATTATCAGTATTACAAGAGTTTTGAGGAGTGGAAAGGAGAAGGAGGAGGAGTGTAGGGTCTCTGAGCTTGGTGGTTTTCTTGCAGATGTTTCATTACCCAACTAGGTAACATCATCAGTGCTACAAGGGACTAGGATTTGAAGAGAGGAGAGGAGGAGGAGAAAGAGGAGGAGTGTGGGATCTTTGGTGCTCTCTGAGCTTGGTGGTTTCATTACCCTACTAAGTAACCTTACCAGTGCTACAAGGGAGTAGGATTTGAGGAGAGGAGGAGGAGGAGGAGGAGGAGGAGGAGGAGGAGGAGGAGGAGGAGGAGGAGGAGGAGGAGGAAGGAGGAGGAGGAGGAGGAGGAGAATGGTCCTCAGTGTTCTCCGAGATTGCTTTTTTTCTTGCAAATATTCCATTACCCAGCTAGGTAACATCATCAGTGCTAGAAGGAACTTGCCCTGATGAGGTTACCTAGTTCGGTAATGAAACGTCTCCAAGGAAACCACCAAGCTCAAGAGAGCACCAAGGAGCCCCTCGTTTCAACCCCGAGCAATAACGATTCCCTTCTAGAAGTAGATTGGCTTGAGTTCATGCCAAACGCTCCTAAAATACAAGCAACGGTTTGCAAGCTGCACCCATCTGGACTCAACCCTTGCGGTAAACCACAAAACAAACTGCAAACTGCATCCTCAATGGGTACAATTGTACGGACAAGATGTCCAAAGTTGCAATTTGAGAACCACACTGACATGATGTAAATACTACCTTTTTAAATGTCTTTTTTTTTTCTTTTTCTTTTGTGGGAGGTTTGTTAAACCATTTGCCATAAGGGACCTCATTAGGGGCACAAGGAAGTACAGTTTTATTCATTTTCCTCCTGTTATGCATTGCCAGAGAAAGTAAGTGTCATTCAGATCCGGTAATTTGTTACTTAGCGCAGAAATGGAATTTTGTCTGCTCTCCTTGGTTGGGGGATTTTAAATTGTGCCCAGAAGGAACAATGATTTAGTAAGCTGTCTTTCTGCATTTAAGAACACCGCCTGGCTGGGTACTTCCGAGAAAAGAAAAGATAGAACGAGGCACGATTCTCCTGAATGGAGAATATTCAATTTATGGAACCTTTTCTTTTTTTTTTAAGGAATCGTTCAGGCCAAAATCACATCCTTGCCTGCCGACTATAGCTATTCAACCTAGTAATTTCTGCTCGGACAAAAGAAGGAAATTGAATAACCGTGTTCTCCGCTTTGGGGGATTCGTTTCATTGGATCGAGCCCCCTTAACGGAGGATTTTTTTTAAAAAAAAGATCAATATTCAATTGAAGCCAGAACATTTCCTTTTTTTTTTTTTTAGGATTAATGGATAAACACTTAAGAAAGAAGCCGTTTTCAAAGATATAATTACAATGGGGAGATTGTTATACGCAGATGGGAAGATTTTTTTGACAGTGCCCACTTATGGAAGAATTGTTGGTGAAATAGACAAAACTTGAAACTGACTTCTTTGATTAGAGAAAAGACATTGTCTGCCTTTATTGGGGAATGGAAAGCTCTGGTGGATTTTTTTGTGTAAAAAATGAGGAAAAAATGCAACATTTTTGGATGAGGAGACAGGATGGATTATAAAAAAGAAGAGTTACATGTTGAGGGGTTACTTTGTTCAGAGAGAGAGGTTAACATATATTTGAATTTATAACTGCTGTGAAGAACATTGGAATCTCTTTCTTTCTTTCTTTCTTTCTCTTTCTACTTTCTCCTCTATCTATCTATCTATCTATCTATCTATCTATCTATCTATCTATCTATCTTTCTTTCTTTCTTTCTTTCCTTCTTTCTTTCTTCTCCTTCTCCTTCTTTTCTTTCTTTCTTTCTCTTTCTACTTTCTCCTTTATCTTTCTTTCTTTCTTTCTTTCTTCTCCTTCTTTTTCTTTCTTTCTACTTTCTCCTTTTTCTTTCTTTCTTTCTTTCTTTCTTCTCCTACTTTTTCTTTCTTTCTTTCTTTTTCTACTTTCTCCTCCTTTTTTCTTTTTTCTTTCTCCTTTCTTCTCTGTTTTCTTTCTTTCTTTCTTTCTACTTCCTCCTCTTTCTTTCTTTCTAATTTCTCCTCTTTCTTTCTTTTTCTTTCTACTTTCTCCTCTTTCTTTTTCTTTTTCTTTCTTTCCTTTCTAACTTTCTTTCTTTCTTTTCTTTCTTTCCCCTCCTTCCTTCCTTTTCTTTAATTTTTTCCCCTCACACTTTTTGCTGTCTCTTTGGTTTTTCTTCTTCCTTACTTTATATTAGTTTCTATTTTTTTTTTATCTTCTTAAGTTTTAATAAAAATTATAGACAGAAGAAAATTGATTGAACCTCAATAGATGGCAGCATTGAGCCAACCCAGCTGATCTTAGGAAGCAAAGTAGAATCAAACCTAGTTAGGGGCTTGGAAAGGAGACCACAAGGAGATCTAGGTTGGATATAAAACAAGAGATCACAGAATGTCCATTCTCCGGCAAAGAGAACTTCATGGGTGTCCATCAGGACACCAAAGTAGATCCAATCTGGATCAGTCACCGGGACCAGAAGTTTAGTCTTCCAAACTTTTGGACTCGTGCTGGAGCCCAAGTAACAGAATCTCTGGGGGAGCTTCTCCCTGAGGATTGGCTCTAGCACAAGTCTGAAAGTTCAGAAGTCTAAACCTCTGATCCTGATTGGATCCCGCGACATTATCCCGGAACAACTAGATTCCACCTTCATCACACCAGAGTAGAACTTCGTG